CAATATTCTTTTTAAAATTTCGGTTAGAATTTCCTATAGACAACGTAATTGAATCGCCTTTATACTTCACGACTTTTCCTAAAATATATCTGTAAAACATTTTTCAATATTCACTCCTTTTTTATTGTTTATTTTCTGAGAAAAATTTGTAGTCTCTCTTACCTACCACGACCGGCCGTTTGACCGGTAGAACGATCTATATCTTTTTGTAATAGTATTCTCTCAAAAACTCAATTCCGAAACTAAAGTCGTTACAAACGAAAGGTAATGCAGTTGTGGCATGATTTCAGCCACAAAGTGCCTTTCAGGGAATGCTTTACGGTGTTTCCAAGTGTTTACAGTTCTCGCTCGCCTATCGGCCTCGGTAAAATAGGTGAAATCTAAATGTCGGAGATGGCCTTTACAGGTATTTTTCAATATCCTAGATTTAGCCGGGATAAATGCATGGATTTTATATAAAGAATCCACGGGAGAAGAAATTTCGGGGCGGGAATTTTTATTTCAATTGGCAGAAGAACTTGCCACTGAATATCAAACAGAACTAGAGTTAGGCAAAGAAAATCAAGCGATACCCGTCACAAATACAAGTACAGGTTCACGCGAACGGAAACCATGCCAAATAAGATATTGCACAAACAATAAGACTAACAAAATCTGTCTAAAATGTAAAAAGTGTGAGAAATGTACAATCGACAAACCTATTTGTAAAAAATGCGGTGGAAACGAATAAAATGCAAATTATATACTTCTAGATAAAAGAAACTATAATTGTATACTGTCAAATTGGCTATTATCATCATTCTATATTAAGAAATATAAGTTGTGCTAAAGACAAGTCATTTGACTGGTCGCGATAGGAATAGTGTTAAGAAAACGTTCAAATGTATACGTGTTCTCTTAACACACTGAAATTATTCAAATGGATGAAATATAATATTCAACCGTTTGATTGAACTGCACGTCGATTTAACCGAATGTCACCGCGTTAGGTGGCATTATTTATGATATAGAAATGTTTTCGAATAACTATAATAATTTGATTTGGTTGGGGTCACCGGTGACCCTCGTGGCATTCAACGTATTAATGACAAAGTTGTTTTCAATCTTTCTGGTAAAATGATTCGGAGTTGCTGGATGTTTATATTAAAAATTGGTCCGAATGGTTGAAAGAATGATTTCAGGTCTTAGATCTAGAAACTGTACGTGACATAGGGATCAGATGCAGACGGTATCTTGTCTCAGTGAGCTTAGTGGTGCCAATAGTCCTATTCATTTCAGTAATTCTAGTAGTGTCAGCGGTATCAATAGTTCCAGGCATCCTGAGGATCTCAGTGATTTTCTAGCTTCATTAAATCTTCTGCATCTGGTTTTGACTATGTAATCGGTACCGAGAAAACTACCATTTCAAATAGAGAATATCATATTTTGAAACTGTAACTAATTACTCTTGAAACTCTTGAAATGAATTCAGAGATTTGGTAAAGTCTTGCGCGGAGAATCTTGTTCTTACCTATTTCACGCAGCTGAGTACGCTAAGCTTATTTATTAACGACTTCGTATCAATCGATACATTTGAAATCAATCTAGTGTGTGTAATGCAGCAAGACTATCGACGTACAAGACGCCATTGACGATTTCGCGGCAAAACTGTCTCTATCTGTCACGTCTTCCTTTCGCAAAAGGTTAACACTTCAGCTGACTTTTACAAGTTCCTCTATAAAAACCACAAACGTGTTTATTGAGATTTAAATTGAGTTGCATTTCAGTTCCACCATTACTGAATTAGTTCCGTTAATAATTTTTCGTAGAAGTACCTTTTCAGTAACTGCAAACGAGGAAATCAGAAATAAGTCATTCTGACCCATCTGGCAGTTCCAGTGTTAACACGTTCACTGTCCTGAGAATTTTAGGCATTCTATACAATATTCCTTATTCCTTTATAACAATGACAAATCTCGTAGTAACCCATTCACTGTTAGCATAAAATGTGTGATTTCATTTGTACTTTCAATTTATTTTGCTTCATATTACGATACCAAGATCGTACCAAACTGGCAATCTCTTGCTACGTGTATATTCGTGACCGGCAGCGAATGGGTTGAACAAACCCTTGTTGCGATACGTATTTCAAGCGCTACCTAAAAACAGTATTTCATCTCTATACGTTCCTGGGAAACGTGAATTCAATTAGTTTCCAATTAGCCGCGCCAATCGAAAGCATTCCCGATGACGCGCTACAAGCCACTCGGAAATCGTGACTTATTCAGCGAGACAGGGAATTACAAAGATCCCCGGCGACGTGGGCGAGACGGATCGATCGTCTAACGTAAATTGACACGGTGTCGGGATGCTTCCGGCGAGGTGTGACGCGACAAAGCGCGCGAAAAATCACACTCCCCGCGAGGAGAAAGGGGGGATCGATCGCGAAGGAAATGTCACGGTTTGTTTTCTCAGTTATGCCGGATTCCCGGCGGCCGCGCCGGGCGAAGCGTTTTCACGGTACATTTTCCCTAATGGCGGTCCGTTCAATATCGAGGCAGCTTCCCGTGATTCCCGCGCCGGCCGATTCCCCGTATCTCCTCGGCCGTGCCTTCCCCGTACACGTCTTCCTTTGGTGTTATTGGAATTTCCGAACGAAAACTGTGTTACACACCGAGATAGAACGATGATTGTTCCGAGGCTGTCCGAGGAACTTTCACGGAGTTTAATCTTCCTACGCTCGCCTGTTTCCTGAACGTATTAGTCGCCCTTTATTGGAGAACTTTTTTTCGAAAACGACCGTTGCTGCGTTCGTGGAACGCACCGTGTATCTGCTGGAAATATTCGAAGCGGTTGTCTGTAGCCGGAACGAATGAAAGTCGGCTTCGAAGTGTAATAATAGTTACAAGTCGAAGTATCTTAAAAATATATGTATATATACAGTCGAAGTTGAATCATCGGAAACAACGGAAGATCTTCGAGACGTGTTCATCTTGGTTTCCCAGTGAAGCTATGTATTTCATAGACTACGAACTAGAACTTCAGTTTATATTTACCAGTGAATTTTAATTTAACCCTTTGCACTCGAGTGGTGACTCTCACCACCTGATTTTCTACAGTGACACTATAAAATTTGATATTTAATATTGTACCTTGTATAACTCACCGATTTGAAAATATTGAAATAAAATAGCTTTGTTCCTCGCGCGTATGACTTCTTTCCGAGTTAGTTTCACAAAATATTGCCTTTATCTCATCAGAAAATGTTAAAATATTTCTAGTGAAAAACTTCCGAGTGCAAAGGGTTAATAAATAACTCGAGTCGCAAAGTTTTCAAATTTCTAGTTGCGATATACTCATTGAAAATGGAACAAAAGAATTTTAGTTCTCAACTGTATACGAGAAATACACCGAACACTCAACACCACCGGCGGTAAAAGATAAAACAATGATAACACGATTTCGCATCTACTTACCGTTATCTCCTCCCAATAACTGTTTCCACTTGTCCCGCAGAATTTCCCAATTTTCGCCGGAACTTTTCCACGGGCGACCGTGGAAAAAGGGGCGAGGGGGAGGAGGGGCGGAGCGAGAGAGCGAGAAAGGCAACAGCCGTTTGAACATCAACAGCTGCATCGCAGCCCGCCCCAGCTAGCCGTCTCTATTTGCTCGTCTCGCATTCTTCGTGGAATAGTTTGGTCTCGCCGCGGATATACACCGGCTACGCCCAGAGAACGAAAGAGATTAAGAATATCTTTTGGGGGGCTTCGGTGGCGACCGAGCCGAAACCGAACGGACCGTCTCCACCGCGAGACGCGCGCGCGCTTGCTCGCTCTCCCTTAGCTAAGAGCACCACTGCGCCGCGTGGACTGGGAAAAAATATCCGTGTCGACCCTTGAACTCGCACCGCGTTCTCCCGAACGGGAGGGAGGCCTTGAATCGGCAGCAACTCTCCGGAATTACAAGTTTCCTCGAGATAAGCGGGCCAACGTCTTGGGGCGCTTCGTAAAAAATTGGGGTTGTGGAACCAGGACCATTGAAAAGGTCACGGTGCAGGTCTTCGGGCTTCTCGGGCAGATTGTCTGGGCTCTGGGAACGAATTGGGACCTGTGACAGACATTTGGGACTCATTAAAACAGGAATAAGAAGAGATACAGACTGCTGGGATAGTTTTGTTCGGATTGTTGGATCTTCGGGGCGAGTCGGAGAGGGTTTGTTTACGATGCTGTGTTCTCGTTTGAATGTCGCATGCTGTTTGGTGTATCGGTATTCTTATACGAGAGGGAACATGAATTTTTGGTGTAATCAGAGTTACCGCTTCGTTGTCCGGAATATTTAATGTAGACCCAACAGCGTCGCGAGATTTTATTTGAGGGAAACCTTGTTTAGCCGCGAGACAGACTAAGAGATACGGCGCAATTTCTAGCAGCGGTATAGTTCACGGTTGAGAGTTAACCCAAAGGGAAATGAAACCAGGAACCCGATGTAAGACGGTCAGGTTTGTCGTGCTAAGGACGTCCTGCAAGGAAACCAGTCTCCTAAACTCGGCGTGTGTAAGAGAATCTTCGTTGCGGTGTCTCCTCGTGGGAAAGACCAATTTGGAAAGCTATGGACGTGGAACGACGCCGGGGTCGTGGTTTGTTAAACGGGAAACGAATTTTCTGGGCCAGGAATAAAGTTGCTTTTCCATTTTGTCGCTTCTCCAAGTGGCGGCTAAATTGAACGGAGTCGATCCCCGCGGGAGGCTTAAATCTTCGCGGACGGAGTTCGGGATATTTTCAGCACTCCGATCACACATAATAATCCACGCGACGGTAATGCAATTTCGATGAACTTTCGTCGCGGCATGACACGCCCCGATAATAATCCTAAGTTTGCTGGGTTTCGTTCAACGATTAATCCGACCTACGTCCGTCTTACTAAACGGAAACAATTCCGACGAATGAAACATACGTCCCGAAAGCGTTGAGATCCCGAAGAGTTGAAAAAGGGAAGCCGATACATTCTGGCGCAGCCATCAGTTTTCGTAGATAATCCGACGCTGTATCGCCCCAGATTAATTTCTGATCCAGCGCGGAGAGAATACGGGCGCAGTTTCGAGGCAGCCTCGAACCCTGGAATTATCGCGGTTGGATATCGTGACCGCGTAATTCCTCGCAGCCCTGAGGGAAGCAGGTCTAAGGGAGCACGTAATTGGCGATTCCGGGATCGAATGAAACAGAGACGGGCCACGTGAAATACTCCTTTAATAATACCTGACGAAGCAAATATATATAAACCTATGATACATATCCGCCAGTTCTCGGGGCCAGTCGTTTAAATAAAAACTTCTTCGTACGTTCTCATTCGGCTATCCGTCATCTACATCGCGCGAACTAGACAAAGACCTTTATCTCGTTAGCGTCGCGCAGCTCGGTGAAACCAGCGGAACGCTGCGGAAACGGGAAGCAGCTTCGTCTGTAGTTTCATTGGCTCGGCGTCACGTGACTGACAACAAAGAAGGAGATACGAACACGCCCATCGGCACAAGTAGCCAATCAGCGACCTAGCCTTTCCCATTCTGTTCAAATGTTCGTGCTGTTTCTTACGAATTGTCTCTCTCGCACAAACGAGACTTTACGAAGAGAGTTGTGCACGGTGATTAGCCAGTCATACATAAAGACACACTATCCAACGTTCTTCTTCATTACTACTTCTTCAAGAGACCAGTCGCCAGAGACCACAACAACGAATGGCTCGCCGAGTTCGCGAAAGCGCGACGCTAACGAGGTAAAGCCATCCAAGAGAAATCGGATCAACGTCGATCCTCCGCGTTAATTTCCCTATCTTTATACAAAGCTTAACAAATAGTCCCGCGGGAACCGAGCCGGTCCCCCGAGCGAACGAACGGTCCATCCACTGTCGCGTTACGTCCTCGCGCGACGCACTCGATCCACCAAACACTTAGAGATTAGGTTAGGAAGAGAAAAACGGCGCGAGATCGTTCTCGTGTGTTCGTTTCTCGCGCGCACATGTAATTATCACAGACAATCGGCGACGGGCGTCGTTATGCCCTCGCCTCGTTCGCGTAATCTTGGTCGGGTTTGGTGGGCAGCGGCCTGTTCGCCATTTTGCTGGCCGGCGTCGACGTCTGCGGCTCGGGCAGCTCGGAGTACAGGTGGGCGGTCGCGTCCGACGGTTCCGCGTACTCGCAGAGCAACGAGTTCGGCCTTTTGTTATTGCTCGACTTCGATCCTCCGAGGATGCTCTCCCCTAAAGCTTTCAGGAAGCTCATAGGCCTGCCCTGCGTCCTGTTCGTCTCGAACTTGGGGCTGTCCGGGGGCCTGAGGGTCTCAGTCTTCGGTTGAACGAAGTTCAACGGTTGGCTCGCGTTGATGTTGATCAAATGGTCGTTAACGACGTCCGGGGGCAGCGGTTGCGGCGCTCGGCCCGCTAAGGTAGCTAAAATAGGCTGCGACAGTCTGCTGGTGCTAGGAACTGTCTCGTCGCCCGGCAGCTCCGCGTACAAATGGTTTTGCTCGGTAGCTTTTTGGTCCCTGGGCTCGGTGTACTCCGTCAGCGGCGGCCTGGGCTGTATTCCGCTCGGCATCAGCTTCTCTAAAGACGGCGCTCTGGTGCCAACGCTGACCGAAGGCTTCGGAGGGCCTCTCTTCCTCTGCTTCGGTCGGATAACGTCGTACGCGTTCTCTTCTCTGCCCGAAGGCTGCCTGTCGTTGTTGTTGTTACAACTCTCTTCGACCTTGATCAGATCGTACAGATGTTCTATCATGTCTCTAGCTTGGTTGTAGTTCTCGGGATCGTTCAGCCTCTCTCTGAGATCCCTCAGGTACTCCTCTGTCAGCTCCTCCGGCAACGTCTGCGTGGCTTTGTTCTCGGTGTACGGATACAGTCCTTCAGCCTCCTCCTCCTCGTCTTCCGTTGCTTCCGGCTGCGTCTCCACTTCCAGGATCCTCGTCTCCGGCTGAAGACCGGCGTACTCGTGCACGCTGAGTCTGGATATCGACCTGGCCGAGGTTGCAGCTGTCATCCCGCTGCTGGGGGACAGCCAGCTGGCGAGATTCATCAGGTGACCGGACGTCAGTTTCGGACACACGCCGTTCCGGCGCATGTAGAGGATGCCGGACGCGAGGATCACCACCAGCACGATGAACACCGCCACCACGCAGATCACCACGATGATGCGCTTCTCGCGCTGCAGTTGCTCCGAGTCCGACATCTCTATGTCGAAGTAGCCCTTGTGTCTCGGGTAGACGTGGGGACCGACGCTGGGAGGACTCACGCTGGGCTTGGGCTTCGCGGACGGCTTCTCGCAGTAGATGTGGTCCCCGGGCGTGCAGATGATCTTCGTGAAGTTCCTCATGGACATGTAACCCTGCGGCAGGTTGAAACACCTGTCCAGGATCTGGTCCACCACGCAGTAACTGGAGTCCATCATCCACGACACGGAACTGTTCTTGCCGGTCACGTCGCGGATCCACGTCTCCAGGTTGCAGCTGCACTTCTCCTTGAAGTAGTTGTTGCCCACGCGAGCCGTGTTCACGCTCTGCGAGATCGCCGCGAACTTCAAGGAGCCGGGCCGAGCCTTTTGTATCTGGTTGCCGGTGAACGAGAACTCGAAATTCGGCGCGGACGTCGCGTCCACCTCCGCCGCGATCGCGTCCGTTTCCAGGTCGACGAACAGGTTGTAATCGATGGCTATGTGGTTCCACTGGTGCAGAACGATGGCACCTTGGTGCAGGCTTTGGAACTCGTTGTTGTTGAAGCTGACCGTCGCCGCGGATATGTCGATGGCACCGGATTCCACCTCGGACAGCCTGAGGAAATGAAGTTTGAAAATCTTGTTGAGTATATTAAGTCGATTGTGAACTTGATATTGTGCTACCGAAGTATTGCTCGATGCACGATTAACCGTTTATTCTCATATCCGGGGTATTCTCGGCAATATGCTATAATAAGTAGCCGGTGCGTTAGGGAGACTCTAATTTGTGTCATTAACCGGCTGCCGTGTATTTTATAAAGAATAATTTCATCAATTAAAACTCGATTCGAACGACGAGCGTAGGAACCTTCTTAACGCAATTTATCGTAACTGAGAATCTACGGGAAATGTAGAGTACGATTTTCCGAAAGCAAGAGTTCCATTTTATAAAGGGTCTCGGAAACTTCGAGAATCCGATACAGAATTAACACTGAAAGTACCAAATGAGTCGAAATTCCTTGATTTTTCTTTTGCGGTTACTGAAGAGGTACAAATATCTCTTTGACAAATTACTACAGAAGCTGATTGAGTAATATCTAAGCTGAAATTGAAACAGATTCGAATCTTAATAAGACCACGTTTGTAGTTTTCCTAATGAAAGTTTCGAAAGTCAGTGCTCGGTAGTTCTGTTAAGGGAAACGATCAGCTCACCTTGAATATTGAATCGTCAAGTTGTCGTGGCCAGCTCTGAAAGCTCCCCTCTCGATGCTCTTCAGTCTCACGTCAACGAACTCGAGGCTCTGTATCAGCGCGCGATCGCTGAACGCGCCGGTCTCGATCTCCTGTATCGACGCGTTGCTGATCGTCACGGTGAAGATCGTCATGGCGCAGAACGCGTCTTTGCGTATCACTTTGGTCCAGATGTTGTCCATGCGGACCTCGGCGATCGCCGATGGGAACACCGCTGTCGGCAGCTCCGTGATTTTCACGCTTTGGAACATAATCTGCGCGAGGGAATCAGAATATCGAGATTAAAGCGGAAACCGCGAGGGAAAATCGACGGGAGCGACGATTGGACGGCGGCCAACTCCTAGAAGACGACGCGCATCCCGGGCGCCCGTTTATCGCGATCGTTCCCTACGTCAGTCCGCTCATCGCCGCGTCGATCCGCGTAAACAACCGAAAGTCACCGGGCGGCTCCCGGCTTTTTATAAGCGTGACTCGGGGATTCTCGCAACGCAATCGCATTTCGACCGCGGCGGCTTTGACTCGTTTCCATAAATGAAATCCGCGATGTCGGCCGAAGCTTTCAGCGATTTTGCAAGTTTCAGAGGCAACCGCGGTCACAGGCGAGCCGGTGGATTCGCGAGCGGCCGGGGGGACGCGAGTTTTTCGAATACGGCAAATGAAACATTCGACAGTGTAAACAAGAGTCTCTCTAGTCTCGTTGGAATATACGATGGGAGGCCGTGGAAAAATAGTTAACCGAAATATTCGAAGCCGCCGGTGCCCGGGATTCGAATATTCGGCCGGGCCGTACGGCCACGGTTTCGTAAACCGTACGATTTTCATTGACAATGGAAATTTATTCATAATACTATTGATTTACCGCGACGTCCTTAAAAAAGCGGCGATACCTTTCAGGTGCAAAACGTAGATAAAACACGGCGGAGTGTTGACGAGGTTTTTCGCGATGACTATCAATCCTGTGTATCCTAGCCTCTGGCGTCATTCTACGATTAACACTGGGTTCACGGGGCGCGTCAATTTCAATCTATATTGAATTCTATGCAAACTATTTAGTATACGTTTACGTTGACTTTGATCGACGCAATTATACCAACACACGATTCAATAATCCATTCTCAATCCTCTAACTTCCAAAATCTGGATGAACGAACACTTTGCTAGTGGTAGAATAAGCCATGCAAAAAGCCTAGTATTAACACGTTGACCGCAGCGCCACAATCACGTTTCATTCATGACGCCACGAAAAACGACGCTTTATTTATCACGTAGCCTACAGCAAAGACAAAGAAGAAAAATTATTAACGATTTGATATCGCAATTCTTACAAGCTATTCTCTCGTAACTCTGAAGCTCCGGTCACCGATGACCACCGTAGCGCTGCAGGAGCAACAATCTGCGGTCACATACGACGCGGCGGTCAACGTGTCAACCAGTTAACCGTGTTTGACGAGTATACACGTCATAAAGCTTGACACGATACTAATTCTTTCAGCGATGAATTCTTCATTTTTTCACATAAACATGTAATTCTTTGTTTCGCTTTGATCTTTCATTAAAATATACTCTACGCGTTCGGCGAGTACGCGCTCCATTTTTCGATTTTATTACGCGCGGAACGAGAGGTTAGTCCAACTAAATTCCACAGTTAACTGATTTACTAATTGTTTTTCGAAATACATTTCAAGTAAGGTGTTTAGAGTAATAGAGAATTATGGGAAAGTAAATGTGGAACGAACTGAGAGTGCAAAGGGTTGATGGGATAATGGGATTGTTTAATATTTTTAGAAGCTATTAAGGCTTTCTAGGAAAAACGAAGAAACGAGTAAATCCTTGAATAACTAAACGGAATGTCATTTATTCCATTGAAATTTAGAGAAATGAGAAAATAGAGAATGGATTAAGTTTTTCCAACTAAATTCCACGGTTAACTGGTTAAAGAAAAAAGCGAGACGAGATCCTCTGACCTTGGTCGCTGGTCCATGCCTGCCGTGCTGAAAAGTCTCGAGCTTGAACGCGTTGCTGGACAGCTCTAAATCGGGCACTTCCTTCACCGTTATCCACAGCAATCTGGAGAACGCGTTCGGCTTGATGCCCACGTGTGTGCATTTCGATATCGAGACGCTCAGCGTCCCGCGGGAATTCCTGAACGCGTGGCTCTCCAGGATCACGCTGTTGCACTCGGACACCTCCAGATGCACGTTCGGCGCGCTCAGGTTCTGGAAGGCCTGCCTCTTCGCCACCAGGCTGTAGATGCCGGACACGTGGACCCGTTTCACGGGCGCGCCGTCCGCGAACGCGCCCGACTGGATCCTCAACTCCCTGCAATGGGAGACCTCCACCTCCATCGCGTCCGATGGAATGACGCCTCCCAGCAGTTCCACGTCCTGTCGACGACAAAACAGACGAATGAAATAGCTTATCATAGGGTTCGTTTCCTTAGACCCTAGAAAAGTCGCCGCGATCCCTAGCAGTGATCCCTCGGAACGTGAGAAAGGCTTTGACGCGTCACCGCGGTCATCAACTGCCGGGAATGCGACAGGTAGCTCGACTTTGGACCTTCTATGGGGTGTCGCGGGGATTTATCGTCGTCCCTGTGCAGGTGGAAACCTGGACCACAATGGGAGCGAAGAATGTTATGACTCATAGACTGCGTTTGTGGCTGCGCTTTGAGGGGATAACAGTTTTTGTGGGCTCGCCGCTGCTGCCCCTTTCAGCGTTAGGATTAGTCGGGTGGTTTTGACAGCGACCATTTGCATCGTAAGCGCATATATGCACCGTCGTGTAATTTGTATATTACAACGGAAAGGAAAGATACATTTTATTAGTGCGATAACTGTTGTCTGGTTATACATAGGTTTTTAATATTTTATACCTGAACCATTTTTATGTTGATACAACTGAGACATCTGTGAGGACTAATTCTCCATTTTTTCGTATGATGCAATTATCTTTGTATTAGAAGATAATGTACTTTGCGAGATGTACACTGATCTTACTAGGAAAAGTATAGTTTCCGAAGTACACCGAATTTCGCTGACTGTATATTTGTCTTTTGTTCTGGAAGACCAAGTCTGTGTTAATCCTTTGAACTCTGTAGGCTCCAATACCGCACCAGTTATAATATTACATATTTTAATGAATCTTACAGAAAATTATTCGATTCTCCACACATCCGAATTTTGTGCTAAGAAGGAAAATAAAAGATCGAAGAAATGTTACAGCATTTCTAATTAAAAATTAGTTGCAGTTGCTGATAGATTACGAAACAACCTGGAGTGCTAACGGTTAATAGTGTGATACCGTGAAAGTTTGTTATGTCTTTGGTCGTTCACGGTTGTTGTAAGTATTCCGGGTTTTTATTGGCGGAACGAGCCGGAACGACGTCCCTCAATATTTAAACGCGATAAAACCGGGATCCGGGGTTATCAGATTCCTGTAATTGCCGGTATCGTCTTCCCGATGTACTTTTCCTCTCTTGCCAGTTCAGTAAAAACGGATGTACCCGAGCAAGTATTTTAATGGGCTCCGGAGAATAATTCCGGAGGAATAATTCCCGTATTACGACTACCGCAGCGGAGAATGATAATTAGACAGTTAAAAATCTGCATAATGGGACCGGAGAGCGGAAGTACCTTGGCCTGTACCGTTTTAAAATCAACAAGTGTGCGCCTATTGGAAGGAATCGCTTGGACAACCTTTTTCCCTTTAATTGAGACGTCACTGGAACTATATTATCCGAGTGGAATTGCCAGTTTTTTTCTTTTCTTTTTGTTTAATCAACGGAACGCGAGTTTAGCGGTTTATGATCTGATTTAATGATCTCATTTAATAATGTAGGAAGCGGGAAAAGTGGAGCGCGTCGGTCTGGTAGTGGTAACGCGATCAATGTTATCGATGTTAATTAATCATCTCTGTCATTGGCTGTTCTAAACTCGCGGCCGCGTACCGTGTATGCATTGGGAAATCAAATTTAGCGTAATTGACGCGATTTCTGTCGTGTTGTCAAAGCCGCCGTCGAGTCATCGGCGAATCTACATTCGATTAAAATTTAATAGAGATCCAGTGACGTCACGCGTGTCATTGACAGACCACCGACGCCGCCGTCATTGATGTTGGTTAAACAAGATTTGAATGATTATCAATTTCCGGCCGGTTCGTTTTTCGCAATTTTTAAGCCTCCCCTCGGGCGCTCTCGCGCGATTTCTTTGGCTCCCGGTAATCGAGATCATTAACGGAACGCGTTTCCGTGTTCAAGGAAACATTTGTTGACGCGTATCCCAGAAAATGAATCCCTAACGAGGTGGAAATCGCTGTGCGTGGCAAGTCGACTAGAAAAATGAATCACGAGACGGTTGTAGCGGATCTGTACCGTGATACTTCAAGGCTACGCCTTTACGTTTCCGTTATATAACGCGCGCGACGCGAGATGCTCGCGATCGATGTTCGAGAGATCCATCTGGATGTTAAGCGAAATGGGAAATCCGATTTGTTTCCATTAGAATTCATTATACGGTGAAACGAGTATCAGAATCCGTCGGAATTCATTGTTTCAAGACGCGCGCGCGTTGAATGCAGCGGAAGTCACTAGTCATCGACAGTTGGACTGCCAGCGACGCCATGATGGCTATTGACGGCTGTCGACGTCGGAATTGGTTGAAACACTTCCATCGACTTGTGAAGTTTTCAATATCATCGATACTGTAACAGTAAACTTGCGATGCTTGACGCGGTAAATGGATAAAATCGGGTATCAATTGAAATCGATAACTGCGTACGGTATTTCATGAAAGAAACGCGGTTGGAATACATAACAGTTGAAACTGAACGTATTAACACATTGTTGACCGTTCACGAGTTAACTCGCGTTTTCATGCCCGAACGTTGTTGACCGGTCACGAGTCAACTCGTGCTTGCACTTGCATTGGATATTTCAATTTTTGATACGCAATATGGAATATTGCAAAAGCAACATATTCAAAGTTACATAAAAGATACGTCCGAAGTTTCATTTCAATTCATTCCGTATGAATAAAGTATATTGAAGTTTATGTAGATTGCCTCACTTTCATATTTAATTACGGAATAATAACCGGTAACACGGGATAGTTTCTGCGTAAAATTGCCAGTCGGCGATGTGTTAATTACCACAAGGGAAAATGAAAAATACATCCACTCGCGGTTATAACTGGAAAACCAAATATTTCGCTAAACCAGAGCTGTCTGTTTTAAAATCCTATAATCGCGATTCTAAGATTTGATGAACGAAAGTCCGTCGAATTTTGGACGCCATTGAAGACGGTAAACGAAAGCAGTAAACCGTGACTGGATTAACCCGCCAGTTATTAGCAGTCAGACACCGACACCAGAGTATTTTCGGTGACATACTAATCAGGTTCTCAGTGAAAGATAAAAAGAGAGGCAGAGAGAAATTGTTGGCCCACAACGGGTTACCTTTAAAAGTACTTCCGCTGACGTCTGCTTCCTGGCTGTCCCCCGCTACCTACGCGACTGCCAGCGAGTCGGTCTAACGAAATGTTCGAACGCCATGCCAAACAATAATTCCAACGTTTCCCCTTTACTCTTTCGAACATTCAAGCAACAATCGCGTACACGACATAGAAATATTATAATATGCCTCGCAATATCGTGTCAGACTCGTGGTGAAGATTTCAAATTAGAATTTAAGAAATATAAGTATCACTTAATTCTTCCAAGCCCGAATTAAGTATTACTTTTTTATTATTAACGCTAAAGCTACTAGTCAAAATGATCTATTCCTGATTTCCTTTCTGCAATTATTGAAAAAGTAACAGATGTTTCCCAAAATGATTAAAGAATTTAATTTAGTGATCGATTAAAGTCAAAACAGATGCACTCTTGGAGTTTCTATAAAGAAATTTGGGAAAACGATTTAACTCGGTAGTTTTAGTGTTAATTACAATGCTTCTGAGTAAACGTAGAATTTTCCTATTTCTAATCAATTACGAACAATATCTCTGTTAAGCATCATTGGAAAAGAGATCATAGAGCAAGGGGTTCGAAATGACTGGCCATTATATATTTCTCAAACAAAAGTATGAAATAGAATCAGAAAGATTCCAATTACCGAATACATCCTCTCAAAACGATCTCCATGTATCATATCATAATCTTCGCGTTAAAAGCGATCCACTTTATCACGTAGCAACTAATGAACTCATGAATCTTTAATAAATCCCAATTAGCGAGATTTCCCTTTGGGTTCCCGCGAACGGAATAAACTCGAAACCCAAAAATTTCCATAAGCATGCACGCCGTGCCCATAACTCGCGACACAACGGTTGTTCTCAGAAACGATTTCAACATAATAATTCGAGCCGCGCGGAGCCCACATCCTCGGCGCTAAAGCGGAAACACGAGGCGAGTCGAAAGGCCGGAGCCACGAGCAGATGACGCCGTGATTTACAAACGCGGCCGCGCGGCCAATTATTTAATTAATCTTGCGCGCGCTGGCTTTTCCACGGAAAAAGGTCGTATTTCTTATCGCGCGCCCGCCGGCCGCATTACAATGAATCAGGGGACTCGGCTCATAGCCGGAGTCGCTTAGCAGTGTCCCAAATGGATGTTGTGATATCTTGGGAGCCAAAAATATCCCCAGATAACGGATTTAGCTCTCCAGAAACGGGGAGACGGATCCCGGAGCCGGAGAGGACTTTTCTTCGGGGAAGGCGAGCGACGAGGGCCGAGAAACGTCGCGGACACGCACTGAGAATAGCGCGTCGGGAAAGATAAACAAATTGCCAGGAATTCCGGCGCGGAGGAGAAAGTTTCAGGGCGGAAATATCGGAAAGGAAGGGATTCCCTCGGAAAACCTATAAAACTTTCGCCTAGAATCCTCGAGGCGCTCTCGCCTAGGGAACGCTTGATCCAGTTCCAGTGGCTGCGGATTTCGATCATCCACGGGCTGCACGAACGCTGCCGAGCCGCCACTTTTCCGCGTCTCCGTGCACCTGTTTTCTATTGTAACACCGGTGGACGCGATGTTTCTGTGAAAATCAATTTTCCGCGCGGGAACCGGTCTCCTGTCTTCCTAGTCTCGCGGTATTGTCCTCTTTATTCGGCGCGGTAGCTAACCAATGAGGATTCGGATGAGTGATGTATCGTCTACAGTTTCGCTGTTTGGAATTTTGTTAGTGTAGAATGGTGATAATGTTGTAGATTGTATTATTATTTTGGATGCGCAGGATTTTTGGGAAAATTGATTTTCTTCGCGACAATCGGTCTCCTGTCTTCCTAGTCTCGCGGTATTGTCCTCTTTATTCGGCGCGGTAGCTAACCAATGAGGAGTCGGATGAGTGATGTATTGTCTACAGTTTCGCTGCTTGGAATTTTGTTAGTGTAGAAC